ACACCGCAGCACGGTGGGACACACACCACCAACACAGTAGGACACACACCACCAACACCAGTAGGACACGCCACCAACACAGTAGGACTGCGCCACCAACACAGTAGGACACACACCACCAACACGGTGGGACACACACCACCAACACAGTGGGACACACACCACCAACACAGTACGGGACACACACCACCAACACAGTGGGACGCACACCACCAGCACAGTGGGACACACACCACCAACACGGTAGGACACACACCACCAACACGGTGGGACACACACCACCAACACAGTAGGACACACACCAACACAGTGGGACCCACACCACCAACACAGTGGGACACACACCACCAGCACAGTGGGACCCACACCACCAACACAGTGGGACCGCACACCACCAACACAGTGGGACACACACCACCAACACAGTGGGACCCACACCACCAACTGGTAGGACCCACACCCACCAACACAGTGGGACGCACACCACCAACACAGTGGGACACACACACCAGCACAGTGGGACACACACCACCAGCACAGTGGGACACACACCACCAACACAGTAGGACACACACCACCAACACAGTAGGACACACACCACCAACACGATGGGACACACCACACCAACACAGTGGGACACACACCACCAACACAGTAGGACACACACCACCAGCACAGTGGGACACACACCACCAACACGGTAGGACTGCACCCAGCACGGTGGATCACTACACCACCAACACAGTAGGACACACACCACCAACACAGTAGGACACACACCACCAACACAGTGGGACACACACCACCAGCACAGTGGGACACACGCCACCAACACAGTAGGACGCACGCCACCAACACAGTGGGACACACGCCACCACCAACACAGTAGGACACACACCACCAACACAGTGGGACACACACCACCAACACAGTAGATCACACACCACCAACACAGTAGGACACACACCACCAACACAGTGGGACGCACACCACCAACACAGTGGGACACATGCCACCAGCTTACAGGTGGGACACACCACCAACACAGTGGGACACACCACCAGCACGGTAGGACGCACACCACCAACACAGTGGGACACACACCACCAACGCAGTGGGACACGCACACCACCAACACAGTAGATCACACACCACCAGCACGGTGGGACACGCACCACCAACACAGTGGGACACACACCACCAACACAGTAGGACACACACCACCAACACAGTGGGACCCACACCACCAGCGCCCGGTGGGACACACACCACCAACTACAGTGGGACACACACCACCAACACAGTGGGACACACGCCACCAACACAGTAGGACACGCCGCTTACAGTAGGACACACGCCACCAACACAGTGGGACCCACACCACCAACACAGTAGATCACACACACCACCAACACGGTAGGACACACACCACCAACACAGTGGGACCCACACCACCAACACAGTGGGACACACACCGCAACACAGTAGGACACACACCACCAACACAGTGGGATACACCACCAGCACAGTGGGACACACACCACCAACACAGTAGGACACACACCACCAGCACAGTAGGACACACACACCACCCAACGTGGGACACACACCACCAACACAGTGGGACCCACACCACCAGCACGGTAGGACGCACACCACCAACACGGTAGGTCACACACCACCAACACGGTAGGACACACACCACCAGCAGTGGGTCACACACCACCAACACAGTGAATTTTACACCACCAACACAGTGGGTCACACACCACCAACACAGTAGGACACACCACCAACACAGTAGGTCACGCACCACCAACACAGTGGGACGCACACCACCAACGCAGTAGGACACACACCACCAACACAGTGGGTCACACACCACCAACACAGTGGGACACACCACCAACACAGTGGGACACACACCACCAACACAGTGGGACACACACCACCAACACAGTGGGACACACACCACCAACACAGTGGGACACACACCACCAACACAGTATGATACACACCACCAACACAGTATGACACACACCACCAACTACGGTATGACGCACACCACCAACACAGTAGGACACACACCACCAACACAGTGGGACACACACCACCAACACAGTAGGACACACCACCAACACAGTGGGACCCACACCACCAACACAGTGATTAGGACGCACACCACCAACACAGTGGGACACACACCACCAACACAGTGGGACACACACCACCAACGGTATGACACACACCACCAACACAGTATGACACACGCCACCAACACGGTGGGACGCACGCCACCAACGCACGGTAGGACACACACACCACCAGCACAGTGGGATACACCACCAACACGGTAGGACACACACCACCAACACAGTGGGACACACACCACCAGCCTGATGGGACACACCACCAAGACCAGTAGGTCACACCACCAACACGGTAGGACACACACCACCAGCACAGTGGGACACACACCACCAACACAGTGGGATACACACCACCAACACAGTGGGACACACACCACCAACACAGTGGGTCACACACCACCAGCACAGTGGGACACACACCACCAGCACAGTGGGTCACACCACCAACTGGTAGGACACACACCACCAACACAGTAAGATCACACACCACCAACACGGTAAGATCACACACCACCAACACAGTAGGACACACACCACCAACACGGTAAGATCACACACCACCAACACGGTAGGACGCACCACCAACACGGTGGGACACGCACCACCAACACAGAAGTGGGACACACACCGCAGCAGTGGGACGCACCACCAACACAGTAAGATCACACCACCAACACAGTAGGACACACACCGCAACACAGTGGGGACACACACCACACCAACACAGTGGGACACACACCACCAACACCGGTGGGACACACACCACCCAAAACAGTGGGACACACACACCAACCAACACTGTAGATCACACACCACCAACACAGGTAGGGACACACACCACCAACACAGTGGGACACACACCACCAACACAGTAGGACACACACCACCAACACAGTGGGACACACACCACCAACACAGTAGGACACACACACCACCAGCACAGTAGATCACACCACCAGCACAGTGGGACACACACCACCAACACAGTGGGACACACACCACCAACACAGTGGGACACACACCACCAACAGTGGGACACACCATCAACACAGTGGGACACACCACCAACACTGTAGATCACACACCACCACCAACACAGTGGGATACACACCACCAACACAGTGGGACCGCACACCACCAACACGGTGGACACACACCACCAACGGTAGGACACACACCACCAACACGGTAGGTCACACACACACCACCAACACAGTGGGACACACACCACCAACACGGTAGGACACACCACCAACACAGTAGGACACACCGCAACACGGTAGGACCGCACACCACCAACACGGTGGGACACACACCACCGGCACAGTAGATCACACCACCATCACAGTGGGTCACACACCACCAACACAGTGGGACACACACCACCAGCACAGTAGGACACACCACCAGCACAGTGGGTCACACACCACCAACACAGTGGGACACACACCAGCACAGTGGGACCCACACCACCAACACAGTGGGACACACACCGCAACACAGTGGGACACACACCAACACAGTGGGACACACACCACCAACACAGTGGGACGCACACCAGCACAGTAGGACACACACCACCAACACAGTGGGACACACACCTGCGCCTGATGGGACACACACCACCAACACAGTGGGTCACACACCACCAACACAGTGGGACACACACCACCAACACGGTCGGACACACACCACCAACCGCGGTGGGACACACACCACCAACCGCGGTGGGACACACACCACCAGCTGCGGTGGGACACACACCACCAACACAGTGGGACACACACCACCAACACAGTAGGACACACACCACCAGCACAGTAGGACACACACCACCAACACACAGTGGGACACACCACCAGCACAGTGGGACACACACCACCAACACGGTGGGACACGCACCACCAACACAGTAGGACCGCACACCACCAGCACGATGGGACCCACACCACCAGCACAGTAGGACCCACACCACCAACACAGTGGGACCGCACACCACCCTTGCAGTGGGATTCCACACCACCAACACAGTAGGACGCACCACCAACGTTGGACACGCACCACCAACACGGTAGGACACACACCACCAACACAGTGGGACACACACCACCAACACAGTAGGACACACACCACCAACACAGTAGGTCACACACCACCAACACGAAGTGGGACCCGCACCACCAACACAGTGGGACACACCACCAACACAGTGGGACACACACCAACACGGTAGGTTTTCACCAACACATTGGGACACACACCACCAGCACAGTGGGTCACACACCACCAACACAGTGGGACCACACCACCAACACATTAGGACACACACCACCAACACAGTGGGACACACACCACCAACACAGTGGGTCACACACCACCAACACAGTGGGACACACACCACCAACACAGTGGGACACACACCGCAGCACAGTGGGACACACCACCAGCACAGTGGGACACACACCACCAACACGGTGGGACACACACCACCAGCACAGGTGGATCACACCACCAACACCGGTGGGACACACACCCAGCACAGTGGGACACACACCACCAACACAGTAGGACACACCACCAGCACAGTGGGACACACACCAACACAGTGGGACCCACACCACCAGCACAGTGGGACCCACACCACCAGCACAGTGGGACACACACCACCAGCACAGTGGGACACACACCACCAACACAGTAGGACATTAAGAACAGGAGTGAAACTAATATATGTTCCTAGAGTAGTTCAATAGCATTTAGTTGTTTATTTCATTTTCTGTTCTTTTGTTAATAAAGTTATTGAAATTTTTCCATCAGGTGAGTCGTGCCCAATACTTACTGGCTGAGATCATGATGGGATGATTCCTGAGTCCTTAAAGGCAACTCTGTCTAAATGGAAGCCGGAGGATGTTCGAGATGCAGAGGAAGGAATACCAAAGGTATGCCCAAGTGAAGTAGAGTCTACCTGCTTGTGTCCACTTATTATAAGGGTTGTCTCAGCTCATATAAGAGTCAGCGGTGAAGGACTGAGAAGGTACAAAGGGAAACAATAGATAAAAGATGGAAAAATTATGAATTTTGAAATAGATAGTCCAAGATGTCCAGTACTTACTAACAGTGCATAACAAAGAACTGGTTGATGAACTGACAATTGGCAAATGTGCTTAAGTAAAAATATTTCATCTAGAAAATTCTTCCATTTCTATAATAAATGTTAGAATATACAATTTCTATCCTTCCTCAGGTATTATATATCAACCCTAATGCCTGTAACCCTACTGGAGTGTCCTTTACTGAGGAGCGACGCCGAGAGATATATAAAATTGCGTCAGACTATAACCTCATCATTCTTGAAGATGATCCCTACTACTTTGTACAATTTGGAGATATGAAGGTAAGCAGTTATTTCTAATTCTCACTCTGATGCTAGAGATAATCATGGAAATTGTCAAAACATAGATATACTGTACTGTACATACTGTACTGTCTTCCATGGCACAAGTCCAGAATGAAGTAGAAAGTAAGTACCTGTATAATACAGTATTTTACTGAAATGTAATGTATTTCTTGATATGAATCAAGTACTGATGAGTTTATTGTAGTAACCAGCACTAAATGGCTGCTTCATCCCAAACCTATCAGAATTTACCTCGGAACATGATTTACATTGTAAAGAAATTGCAAGATGGTACAAAAATAAAATAAAAATTTCCTTGAAAGAAAAATCTAGATTTAGATACAATTGTTTTTTAAACAGGGCTATGTTGTTCCAGAAATTTTCTTAATGCCTACATACTGTACAACAAATTGAAAAATATCATTTTGAAAATTGTTCATGTCAGTTGATAAACAGTTCCTATGGCAATTTTGTTTGGGTTATGTGATATCCCTGTTAGTCAGAACAATTGGTGCAGAGTACTTCTGGGGATGAAAAATTTTCGGGTAACCATGTGATTTTCTCACCAGAAAAATCCCTTAACCCCAGAATTTTTTCCTGTTACTGGTAAGTTTCCAAAAGTCTAAACTATGCATCTTGCACAGACAGACACTAGTTCACATCCCCAGAATGTATCTGGGTGCCAATGAACTTTCCAGAGTCTAAACTACCAGTCTCCAAAAGCAGTTCTAATTTTGAAACTCCATTTCCTTACCAGAATAATCCTGAATAGTTTATCTAAAAGTTGGGTTAAATATATTTAAGATCTAAGAATCCATATGCTATGGGTGTGCGAGGCGCCTCGTGAATGAAGCTGTGTGTTACAGCGAAGACTGGTATTTTCCACTCACTTGGAACTGTGGGGGATTAGTGGTCTAATATTACTGACCTGATGGAATGTCAGGTCACCCATTGTTGGGTGGGGGGATTAGAGGTCATGATCTGAAGATGTCTTGAATAAAGGCAAACTAAGGTATTTTTGAGGTGCAAGGCTGCTAGGAAAAAATGTATAAACTTTTACTCTGATTGTATTAGAAATGAATTTGGTACTGTTAGTTTTGGAGATGCGTTCCTGAGGACGTTATTTTTTACCTGAGATATATACAGTATTGTATATGAAGGGTACAAATAATAAACTTATTAGAGTAATGTATCTCTAATGAATAAATAATAAGCAATATTGTATCATGAATGAAAAAGTGAGTGAGAGGCAGGAGTTGGTGACAGGCACTGGGTGAAAGGCAAGCCTTTGTGGGGGAGAGGGTCTCCCTATGAGGTCACCCCCTCCGCCCCTTCCTTCTCACTCGGTCACACCACCACCTCTCTCACCCTAGCAAAAAGTGTACTTTATAAAATTTTATTCACAGCATCTGTTCTATTTGTGTTAGGTGAATTTGATATCATAATCATCCGGAATAAATTCTCTATGAGATGTTTCCAATAAGAGATACTCAAATAAAATATTTTAACACAGTATAATGATGGGAACTCCATTCTTTTATATAAAAAAAAAAAACATAAGAAATGTTGAAATAGTAGTCATTAAATTCAGTTTTAATCAAATTGGACACCATTTATTTTACCCAAATAATCCTGAATATTTTCTAAAGTTCAGTTAAATAAAATAAATAAAAATCTTTATGATATGGGCATGATTGGAGCTGTGTTACAGGAAAGGCACTGGAATTTTCCACTCTTCACATGAAATATTCCCGAATCTAAATGATGCATCTGGCACAGAATCATATTTATTTATGTAAACTCCACTGTATTTTATTTTATTTTTTTTATTTTTTATTTATTTATATATATATTTTTTTGTATAAGTACAATGTGTTGTTACTGTGCCTGGGCTAGGTTGTAATAAACAGGAACACCCACACAGACCGGCGCATATACACACAGGCAGGCACCCATACACCCATTGATGACGTTACAATGTTTATGGCACTTGTCAGACCAAATGGACACAATTGTTACAGCCTAGAATAACTGTAAACCTATATGGGTGCCATGGAGATGGCCCTCATACAGTGTGCCAACCAATCAAGGTAGCAGAACATAAGGACCCTTGGAAAAACTTACTCTGATTGAGACTGAAAAGGCCCCGACAACAGGATGGGTGTAAGAAAAAACAGGACAGTTTGGCTGTTGAGTGTGTGAGTGAGGTTCCTGTGTGTGGCCGGGCAGTATACTGAGGATCGGTGATGTGGTGATGTGTTCTTGTTTTTCTCTTTAGTTTTTTTGCGGTGTATAGTGAGCTCCATCCCCATGGTATCTAGTTAGAAAATAGGATAGGTGCCTTATGTCACGTCCTTGCTGAATAAACTTAAATGGAAAATATCTTTCCACTAACCTTCCTAACTAATACATTAATCTAAAACAAAAGGGTTCCCCCAGTAACAGATGCATGGATACCAAAATGTACATTGTCAAGTGACCCTTTCAGTAACAACAGCTGCACCCTGACTGAGTAAAGTAGACATAAAACCTTTGTTATAAATGGTGACGAGTGGTGTGTTTATTCATATAACAAAAGTCTCACACGCGGCTTGCCCTGTATTCTACCAAATATATCTCAAGGTGTTGTGTTTCATGGGTGAATTAGGTTGGAATTTGAGGGTTGTTTAATGGCCATAATAATATTCTAAAATTAACACCTATTAGTGGTAGAGATAGTGAGATACATATAGATGAATTAAATTCAGTTATTTTTGTGTTCAATATTATGACTGGAGGTTTAATGTGATACTGTACTTAATTATCTCTTAGCCAAAATATTTAATTCAGGAAAGAATGTTGTATACAAGTTATTTTACTTTCCATGTGGGTGATTGGAAGAACTAACGTTTGTTGAAAGACCTGCTATTTTAGCAATGGGTAAATTTTTGGAGTGACGTATTCACAGTTTGCGAAGCCTAAATATTATTCAACAGTGTTTAAATTGGTGACATTAAACTAATCAGTATTATAACCTCACCTATATCTAGATGATGAGTGGCGCATATAATTATTTGATAGCTTCAGATCCCCTATTGAGTTAAGTTAGTGTCAGTTTCAGTATTGTGACGTAGAAGCAATTGGTTGATAGTTTAACAAATTGCGAGTGTTGATAGATCGTCGCCATGCCGCCCCGTGACCAGAGCCCATGCCAGGATTGTCAATAGCCCAGATAGTTCAAGGACAGATAGTGTTCATCGCGTGTTGTGAGTGCATCCCCCACGTCACGGGCACATAGGTCGTATCACCTAGGACCCGTGATGATTTTCTTGCTATCAATGTTCCCCCTGTATCCCCTGAACTTAGCTGGCCGATGCTCTATCAGGTGCTCACTCGTCTGCACTGCCAATTCAGGCCGTGCCAGTATTTAATCCAGACACACTAAGACACATAAGTATTCTGGAAAGGCTCCATGCATGAGACATGGCTAGACATCAGTGCAAGAGCTACCCGGCTTTATAACGGTCGTTCACATGAGTGTATGGGTGCCTGCCTGTGTGTATGGGTGCTGGTCTGTTTGGGTGTTCCTGTTTATTACATAAATAAATGATAAAACAATGAAAAAGACATAAGAAAAACTATATATTGTCCCTCAGTGAGGAATAAAATAAGGAGAAAGGTTGGTTTCACTCGCGGTCACTACGCATTAGGGTTCCTTTTCCTATCTCCTTTGTGTCCAACATGGCCAAAAATACATATTTTTACTGATAAAAATACTTACTTCCTATAAATAATTCATTTAGAGTTTATTTTATTTGCATTACTTTTCATAAAGAGCTACACACCCAGTCTGCTGCCAGACTGTCTGGTTGTCTTTGTGTTTGGGAGAGCGCCAGACAACAGCACCAGAGAAACCATGTGGGTCATCCTTGGGTATGTCTACAACACTTGCTATGTAAACAACGAGATCTAAAACATACCCAGTATCTCAGTCACACAGCACAAAGAACTTGATCCCAAAGCGATGTCGTTTTGAGGTTATGTATTGTCTAAAAACAACACGTCCTCTGAAAAGCATCAGAGACTCGTCCACCACTTCGTTTTGAAAGGGTCTGAAGAACTTCGTCAAACGTTCCTTCATTATTGTAAAAACTTCCCTATTTTTCCAAAGTCTGTCACCAGCCACAGGAATGTTGTTATCTACAAAGTGTAGGATGTAGGCAAACCAGTCTCTGGACATGAATTTTGCAAACAATGGAGTTGCTGTGATGTCATCAGGAGATATCCAATACTCGTGAAGTACAGTACATTATAGCCTCTGATAACAACGGTTCAACCAACAACTTTTCATATTTAAAACCCTAGTTATTTGGCCAATTCAATTTACGTCCTTATTCCATTCGTATTTACGACCAAAATGTAATAAAAATAAAATAAAATTACGTTTTCATATAAATAATAACTAAATCCCACTATGTAAAAAAAATTGCTGTAAAATAAGGCGCCTTGTGCAAAGAAGCTGCCTTGCTAATGAGTGGTAAACAACAGTCGGAGCTTGGCGGGCCTTTTGTTTTCACATCTGGAGCAGGAACTGGAAAAACTTTCTCAGGTTTCTTACAGCATTTTGCATCCTATTGAACATGAGCAAGAGAGCAAGTGATGGTAGTGTTGTTTCAAAGCTAATAGAAAGTGTCTAAGCAGCGAGAAACTAGATGTGTAAACGATATGAAAAGGTGAGAGGTCTGTGGATATTATATGGAGCAAGCAATGAACATATTTTTCTGATGGATCCATCAACAAAAACATTATAATTTAAATAGATGCAAATGACCTCTACACAAAGATGTATAATGGGAAAAGAAAGCAGCTGTGCAAGGTTCTTTTCGATAGCTTTATTATTGAAGGCCTAAACAGTCAACTTCATACACCATCAAATTCAGTATCATAAGCAGCTAACATCAACTTCAGGTTCAGTAACAGTTTCAGCAACAGCTTTATGGAAAGCTACAGCTTCAGCC